GATTTTGCCCACTGATAGGTGTATTGGTAGGTAGAATGTCCTAAAAATTTCAGCTCCAAAAATGGTTTCGTTCCTAAGATATCAAAGCCTGACAAATCGGCCACCTCTTTCATAGGACTCCTACAGTTGCTCGGTTTTTAGGCTTTGATATTTTAGGAACGAAACCGTTTTTTGGAGCTGAAATTTTTAGGACATTCTACCTACCAATACACCTATCAGTGGGCAAAATCTTAGCTTGAAATACTGACATTCGATTTGTTGTTAGATGCCTTGCTGTAGGCAGAAACTTCACTAAAACACTTATAACTACAGACAGAAGGCCTAAGCGCACAAATCCTCTTGGAATTTTTTATAGTTGGTTAAGGTCTACCTATCGCCAAAAGATGAAAGATGGGACGTAAAGGGCGTAAACACCTGGGAATGTTCCCTCATTAGTATTATTGCTAACTGTCTTCATACCCTGTCTGATCTGTCACCAACATACGATCTTAGATTGTGATCTGCACATCGTCACAGATAGTGATCGACGCGTATCAAAATCATTGCTGCTTTGGGTCAACTTGTCCACGTGACATGAAGTAATCAGTAGTAATTGATAGTGAGTAACCGATTGATCTGTGGTAGTTACTGAAAGTGTGATATTCGATATGTTATAATTAGCATTGGTTAGCTAATATTAATCAAATAATGGTAACTGATAATGTCGATCACGGTCTACGGAGGGAGGGTGAGGATGTGGGTAAAATTTCCCCCCTAAAACTTCAACACTCTTTTTCAGGTCGTGTTTCACAAAGTAAGGTGTAGGAAAAGAACACCTTAGCTTTTCTAAGATATGATTACAAATCGTAAAACTTAATTCTCTTCTTTGTGAACTACCGATTATCATCTCGCTTACACGAGAAATAATCGAGCAGACAATTGGATCTGAGTTTCGCATTGACGATCGGAGTGTTATGTTTTGATCACGAACAATACAAATTTTTTTAAAAACTGTGTGATTAGGTCAGAAAGACTGTATGGATTGGAGCGATGAAATCACATATTCAAGAAGTGATTTTTGTCCTCATGAACCATTGACTGTCAAATGCGATGATCACAAGTGTCCTTCGAAGAAGTGGTCGTGCGGAGATGGACAATGCATCTTCAGTATGCATCGTCTTGTTTACCAGACGTTACATCCAAAGGATACATTTTGTTTCAGCATGCGAGAATACAATCACATATGTGAAACAGCTATTGATAGAAGCTTATGGACCAGGTCAGATGGACATTGCATGGATAAGGGTTTTCTCGATCGATCTCTCGTTTTATCGTCGAGCGAACAAAAATGTCTTTATCTAATTCGGTGTGCTTTATCAAAGGGCGCCGAAGCCCAATGTCCTTGCAATGGTCCCAACTGTGCTGGCTTGATGGAAGATGTGTGCGATCGCCGTATATACCATTATCCAGAGCGTGGTATTATTCGACCATGGCTCGTTCACTTATACGACTGGGAACGATCGTTGGACAGCTCCGAACCGACTCTAGTCGTGGTTTCAGGAGGTCTCCGATGCCGAGGATTTTATGCTAATGTGACAGCCAAAACTGAGAGTATGACTGTTTATCAAGCTGGTAGGCTTTACAAACATGTAGTGGAGCTGATGGTTTGCCACGATGTACCGCTGAAACAGCGCGATGAAACATCGAAGTTTCAATATTCGGCTACATGTTGGAATGATTCAGTGACATTTAACGGACTGCCTTACGCTTTTCAGGATGTTTGCCCGGGAACAAGCATATGCTTCTCCCAGTATCGAATCGGTGATGGATATTCTGACTGCGTAAACGACGAAAGTCAATATCTGCTTGCAAATTCGTACTGTGGTCGAATACAGAAACATCGCTTTCGATGCTCTCCACAGCAGATGACATGTTTTCCAGTTGAGCAATTCGACCTTGTAGGTACAGTGACTAGCTGCACAAACTATCATGATAGGTTTCTCAACGGTGACGGGAGGCCAGTGGCTGAAATCGTTTGTAGGGAGAATGAAGAAGACAACGAATGTCAACTAATCCGATATTATGTTGGAAATTCTTCCGTCGCCAATTCGACATTTAAAAATGACACTGTCGAACGAAGAAATGCTGAATACTACCCGACTGCAATACCGTTTCAATACCACTGTGACACTTTTTGGGATGAAGGATCACCGCACGCAGATGAGAACTCAGCAGCATGCCAACAATGGCTTTGTGAAGAAAACCAATTCCGATGTCGAACCGGTCAATGCATCGAATTGAGCTGGGTCTGTGACGGTCAGTGGGATTGCTCAGATGCCAGTGATGAATTTGGTCTGCACGAGCATTGGTCGGATCATAATGATCGTCTCGAGAATTTAGACCAACGCAAACAAATATGCGAGCAAAACCATGCCAAGTTGCCCTTTTCTCACTTCTGCAATTTTGATTATCAATATCCTTGTTATCGAGCATCCGTCCCCGATCCACTGAATATCTACACTTATCGACCGTGCATCAATTTGACACAAATTGGTGATGGTGTCGAAGATTGCTACGGAGGCATCGATGAAAAGAACACTTTAGAAGATTGCCACGGATTTATGCTCGGGTATTCTTTGCGGTGTGGTAACAGATGTTCCCTTGCAGTGGAAGCCTGCGAAGAACACACAGATTGTGCAACGTCACTTCTCTGCTCATACCAAAGCAGGAATCAGTCATGGTGTTCGAAGCACAAAGACGTTGTCTGTCTTGATGGGACGTGCGCAGACAACTCTCGGTGCGATGGCAAATATCAATGTCGATACGGTGAAGACGAGCACTGGTGCTCCTCATACGCTTCGTTCGACGAGAAAATAATATACCGACTTTCTAAATACCAATATCGGCATCAGCATTCTTTCTTGATAAATCTGCTACCTTTTCCCACCAAAAGTATCCATCATGTTCACGTGACGAAGAACACCTCTTCTTCTTCGACCACGAATCCGCAGCTCTCACGGAGATATCCCTTCGAGAGCGATCAATTAACACATGCGACAAGTGTTCCACCTTTCGGCGAGACAACGTCACAGTTTCATCCGCGATTGCTATACGTGTGTAACCGTGGCTTTCCTTTTTTCATTCGTGCAACTGACGACTATTATTGCGTTTGTCCTCCCACTTATTATGGAAAACGATGCGAGTTCTTCTCCGATCGCTTGTCTGTTGTAACTCATCTGGATCTGACGACACTTCCTGGAACTTTTATTACAAGGTGGATAAAAGTGCTTGCCACTTTGCATTACGAGGAAACTGTCGTCGATCATCATCTCTTTCACGTCAATCCATCCTTAGAAGCGAGCAAGTACGTCAAACAACGCTTTCACCTTCTCTATTCTCGATCGAACAATTCTCTCGAACAGAAACAGTGGCGCTATTTCAATCGTACTAATATCATTCATCATCAACCATACTTCATTCATTTCGTCGTGTTTTCGTGGAGTGCAAATCAGACAGATGAACTGGGTTCGTTCCGTTATCCAATTTACTTTGATTTTCTCCCCGTGTTCCGTTTGGCCACCGTTTTGAAATTTCCTTCCTGGTTCAGCAACTCGAGTCTTGATCCGTGCGCGAAGGGTCCATGCAAGTCAGAGTTCCTGTGCAAACCGATCTTCAATCGAAATCAATCGTTTTATTGTGTGTGCAAGCCCGGATACAGTGGCGCGCTTTGCGAAAAGTTTGACCTGCAATGTACATCCTATTGCAGTGCAGAGGCGATCTGTCGACCGAATTCTCGTGGACTCATCGATGGCTCTGCACGCCCTTTGTGCATCTGTCCGCCCGCTCGAATGGGACCTCGTTGTTATCTTCGAAACGAAGCGTGCTCGTCGAATCCCTGCAGAGCCAATGGCACATGTCACCTAACCTACGATCTGAGCGGAGAAAATCCTATCATCTGTCAGTGCACACAACAGTTCTACGGCGACCGATGTCAGTACGAGAAGGTGTCGATTCGGATTGCTATCAACGCGAGCATCTCAGCCGCAGCTAGTGTCATTCAGTTTCACGACATCTTTGCGAAATCACTATCATTTGTCGCGCGCCATCAGGAGGTTGTTCGTGGCGTGCCAGATGTAATTCGGTACCACCATGGACAGCAAATAGCACCGGCGATAGCGCTTCTCAAGGTCTATCAAGATGCAGCAGACATCACGTATTTCGTTCTTTACTTTCAACCAAACGCAACTATCATCAATATTACCGCTACGCCCGAAGAATGTCCGTATGCCCTGAATCTATTGCCCAAAGGTAAAACATCCATCGACAACATGATTATGTTACTAGATTCTTCGTTCTTTCAGATGAGATCGTGCACACCAGAACTGTCTTTGCATATCATCATATCTGCCGAAATAATATTAGTCGGTTCTGTTTTTATGACCTGAACTACTTTTGTTTTTGCCAACCGGAGCATAAACGAGCGCGTTGTTTCGGACACAATCCTTCCACGGACCGCTGCGATTCATGTTTGTCAGACGGGAAATGTATCAAAGGCAGCCTTCAACTCTCAAACGACTTTGTCTGCCTGTGCCGTTCTTGTCACCAAGGCCGGCAGTGCGAATTCAATTCACAACTGTTCAGCCGCACTGTTGACTCGTTGTTAAGTACCGATCTGATGGTTGTTCAATCCATCTATACTGGCTTAGTAATTATCATGTTCTCTTTCGGTTTGTTCACGAACTTCTGCTCATTTGTCACCTTTAAGCGCGTGGAACCTCGAAAGTTGGGTGTAGGGAACTACCTCCTTGCTGTAACAGTTCTCAACCAGTTCAGTCTGTTGTGTCTCCTTTTCAAGTTCATCCAAATTCTTCTCGCCTCTGTGCAATTGAGCAATGGTACTTCTTGTAAAGTAGTGAGCTACCTTCTTTCTGTTTGCACGCGTTCAACATATTGGCTCACAAGTTGGATTGCAGTCGACCGGCTCCTTCTCGTTCTGTTTCCTGCTGGCATCTTGTTGAAGAGACCTCGTTTAGCTATTTATTCCAGTTTGATTACTCTTGTCGGTCTTCTTGCCATGCACGTACACGAGATCTATGTCTATCGGATAATACGTGATCCTGACCTATCTGTCAGTCTCTGTGTTATTGATATTGATCGTGATGTGATACTCAATTATAATCGAGTGAACACGTTCATCCACCATATGCTCCCATTCTGTACGCAAATCATATCCATTACGCTTTTGATCGCTCTTGCTGCTCATAGCCGGGCGAAAACTACCGCAAGCAAAACAACGTTTTGGCAACTATTAAAAAAGCAATTCGCCAGCCAGAAAGAACTTTATGTCACTCCAGTGATCATTATCGCATCTGCTCTACCGCAGATCATTCTGTCGTTTAGTGTTGCATGTACTCAGTTAAGTCGTTGGAAACGACACGTACTTTTGGTTACCGTTCTTTTCTCATATTTACCGCAGGTTCTTGGATTTATTCTCTACGTGTTGCCGTCGAGTGCATACAAGAAAGAACTCAGTCAGACTCTGATAGGAGACAAATGCTTGAAGAGAATGTGGATCAAAGCAGTGAAAGCAGATAAACCCTCTCCCGCAATAGAAGACCTCCCCCTGGACAAAAGGTTCAAAAGGCCTACTAGAAGACCCCTCTTTCAACCCTTTGACGGGCGGTGGGACATATACGTCCCGATTTTTTTTCGTTGTTCAAGAAACATAATGAAACGTACAAAATGACTCGAACCAAGAGAAAACACCACTCAGTGTAGAACAATCAATCTCCCAATGTAAATCTTCGACTTTCGATGTTAACACTCTCATTTTGTGGTTATTCGTAAAGCAGAAACATGCTCACTGTTATCTTTTGGAAGGCATGAGATATTCAATGAGCGAGGAGATCGGGCTTTCTCACAAAATTGACTTTACTTATTTCATATCAAGTAGTTCTCCATAATCTTGGAATAAACCCATGCGTTTCTCTTTGTCATGTTTGATTTGACTAGTGTTGTTGTCTCTTGATTTATGAATAGACTTTCTTCGTGATTCCATGCATCTGATTGTTTCTCAATACCAATATCTTCTATTCATTTTCAAGACGACTCGTGGCTTTTCAAAAGAGAAATATCCCAAACTAGATTTCTAGCTTAGACATATAGTGACAAATTCTGTATCAAAGAACAAAACTGATTGTTTTTTCTAGTTTGATAGATCCTTTACATGTGCTACCCGAGTAAATAACGCTTAACCTTCTCACCATATTTGAATCAGGGAGTTATCGTTTTCTCGATCATCGCACATGCTAATTTCACCATTTATTTCAATCGGTGTCTCCTTTAGAAAAGTCGCCCGTCAAAGGATTAATTTCATCTTTTCTTCGCTTGTATAACACAGTGCCATCAATTTTCATCCACAGGAAAGGACACTATCCAGTAGTTAGCACCCTTCTTCTTTCTCTAGTATATTGTTGTTTTTTATGTTTTATCATTACATATACTCGTCACTTATTTATCTTTCTGTTTTCTTAACTTTTCGCAATTTTTAGTTTCAACTAAATACAAATAAACTGAAAGTACAGTTCATCTTCTTACTAAAACAACAACAGATATGTTGCATTTTTCACTCGTTTTACTGCAGATTATCATCCCTCTCTGAAGGAGAATTGAATGGCAAAATATCATGTCGTGGTTGAAGCACAACTACTCGGTTGCCAAAAATATTTTTCCAGGGGGGTACAGCCCTAACGACTAGTGATAGACACAATGAATTTTATACCAAAAGAAAGCCCGTCAAAAA